AAAAAAAAAAAAATAAAAATGATCAGTGAATGGATAATACGTTCTTTTCAATATTTGTCATTGTAATGATTACATGAATGATTGTAGCTGCTGCTTTTTATAAATTACTTAAATATGATTTCATAAAATTTCCTGTTTAAAATTACGCGTTGGAGTGATGATCTTATTATTATCCCAAGGGATTCTTTTTTTTTTTTTTTTTGATTTATTTCTGATTTTCATTCAGACGCATAATTAAAAACAGAAGGAACCATTATTTATCTTTAGTGAGACTATACTTGATAAGGAGTAGAGTGGTTCTTTAGTGAGAGGAGTGAAGGAAAAAAAAAAAAAAAAGAAAAGAAAATAATAATAAAAATACGTTTGTTGGCTTTACCTTTTGGAAATATGCGATAAACCTCCCTGCTTCTTAACAGAGAATGTACTGTAGAAACAATAGTAGGAGGCAGTAAGTAAGTAAGTATAAGAAATATCCTTGTAATTTAATATATATCTCTCTCTTTGATTGTCTGTGTGTGATTTCTTCTCGTTTCCTCCTTCTTTTCTTTTCTTTTCTTTGGTACATCTCTCTTTATTTCCTCTTTTCTTTTTCTTTTTCATATTTTGGCTAAAAGGGAGTAAAGTGAGGTAAAGGAAAGTTAGACGAGAACTATTCACTTTAAAAGACTTGGGACGTACGTGCTCGTCTCACTACCTCTTGAGAAGATCGCTTTGATGTCGGCGATGGACGCACCTCCTCTTCGTGCACGAACGGCGTTGTTAGAAGAACTGCGGGATATGCAGAAACAACAACAACAACAACAACGAAAAACAGAGATAACACACACACGGAAGAGTGATGATAGTGTGAATGATAGAGATAACAATGACAATGACGGTGAGTTAGGCAGTTCTGTTCCCATGGCAGTGCGGTTTGTGCGGGGATGTCCTCCACTTGGAGATCCCTCATGGGCAATGGAGGAATTACTGCGAATAAACCAGAATGTTGCGGTTTGGACAGGTACAAAGCTTTCTAGTTCTGTGTGGGCTTTTCCAGGCAGTGGGCAATGCCCCTTTGAGACTACCGAGGCTGATTTCTTACGGCATCACTAGTGTATTCTTGTCGTTATTGTGTATATCTGCAGACACACTGTTATTATTATTCTTACTTGCTACTACTACTTGAGGTTTATGATTGGTGGGGATAATTTTCTTATTGTTCTTGTTATCCGTACATCCCACACTTTTTTTTCTATTATAAGATATATATATATATAGTTGTGATGAAGCAAGAAGTAAGAAAATAATCAAGTCCTTTTTCTGGCATATATATAATTATATGTTTTTTTTTTTTCTTTCTTTTTCGGTTGTGTAGGGGAACCCCTCATTACAGAGACGATATTACATGCTTGCATACATAAAATATGTATTCTATCTTTTTCTTTTTTTTTCACTATTTATTTACTTATTTATTTATTTATTTTAGAATCGACAACTCCCCCCACACGAGTGGGAAAAATACACAATGAAACTAACCGTAAAGTGTTCTCTCGCAGGGGAGTCGGGTGGCACAAAGGAGCTTGTTATACACAACCCAAAGGCGACGCTCAGCAACTTGCGAGCTGCTATTGCCATTAACTTTCGACTCCCTGTTCATAGTTTTCGCATGATTCATAGCTCTGTTGATTTTAGTAGCGAACAAATACTACTGCGTGATAGTGGGATTCAGGACGGCGACTTAATTACAGTGGCAGCGAAGCGCGACAGAGAAGAGGAGGAGAGTGAGGGACAACAACAACAACAACAACAAGAAGGAGAAAAAGGAGAAGCATCAGGGAAACATACCGCTGTTGAGATTACAAAAACCTCCACCACGAACGACTCCTCTCTCTCTGTTGTACCAGCCAGTAGTGGGGAAGTTGTGAGAGAAGCAGAAGGATCTGGAGTAGGGCAAATGATGATCAACAATAATGACAGTGATGAGGAAATGGAGGAGGAGGATGAGGAGGATATGATGGAGGATGGGGCTAGAGAGATGTTGAGTCATCTTCTAGCCACAGTCCCTAATCTCTTGGAAATGCGACAACAATTTTTGGCTAATCCAGCTGAAATCATGCAGCAAATCAGGGAACAAGATCCGAGATTATTTGAACTTATTACAGCTAATCATCAGGAGTTTCTAGATCTTGTGAATAATGAGGCTCTAGTGGAGACCCTGCAACGTGAACAAGAAGAGGAACAGAATGGTCTTTTGGATGAAGAAGAAGGCGATTTTGAATATGAGGACGAAGCGGAAGATCTCATTAATTCACTCATGGCAGAATATATGGGATCTGTTGCAGCAGCGGCTCTTGCGGATGGGGATGATGAGAATGAACCCAATGAGGCGACAGATGTTGCGATTACAGAAACACAGCGGTATCTTGACAGGATACCAACAGAGGAGGAGGAGGCGAAGATTGAACAGCTGATGCAACTGGGTTTCACGAAAGACCAGTGTAAGGTAGCTTTTTTTAAGGCAAAGCGAAGTCTTGAGCGGGCGGCTAATCTGCTTTTTGAAGACCCACCACAGCTGTAAAGAAAAGAAGAAAAAAGAAAGGAAAAGAAAGTAAAAAAAAAAAAAAAAAAATTGCTTTGCGTCTGAGAGTGAGTGGGTGAGAGAGTATATATACATATATATGTGGGTGCACTGATGCTTATTTATCAGTTCATTTCTAATATGGATGCAACTCTTTTTACTTTCTCTCTGTTGTTGTATTCTGTTGTATTATCCTGTTGCATCTTGTCCTTCTAACCTTCTTTTTTTTTTTTTTTTCCAAATCTCTCATCAGCGTTTTGAGTGCACCAGCGTGTTTTTTGTTTTTCTGTACGCGATTGTGTTTTTCTGCATAAATGGGAGAGAGTGGAAAGAAAAAAAAAAAAAAAAGAGGGAAAGACCAACTCATCTGTTTTTTGTTTTTCTTGTTCTTCATCCGTGGCTGGAGTACACTAAACCGAAGGTAAAAGAATCTGTTTCACGTGCCCAGTGCGTGAGAGAGAAAGAGAAAGAGAAGGAAAGAGAAATCATGAGTGTGGAGAACAAAAAAAAAAAAAAAAGTGAAAGGCAGAAGAGAAAAAAGGAATAATTCATTTATTATTAGTTTTTTTTTTTTCTTTCTATTTCTAACTCGTTGTGGTACCACACCCCTGTTTGTTTTTCTTTTTTACTTTCGATCCTCTTTTTTCTTGTTTTGTGTTTTGCCTTCTGTTTGGTGCAGTTTTTTCTGGGTCTCCTTCTCCTTCCTACGGGGGAATGGGAAGAGAAATACAAAGAGAAGAGAGTAATATGGTCTGAGGGAAAGGAGAAGCAAAATAAAAAAAAAAAACACGAAAAGGTAACATCAGAAGGAGGAACATAAGCACCGTAAAGATATATATATATATATATATATATATATATATCGGGCGCAAAAAAAAAAAAAAAAAAAAAGAGCTCACGGAAGTGTGGTAAGGTTACATTTTTTTTTTTTTTTCTCTCTCTCTTTACATGATAACTTGCCTCTTCCACACCTATTCGCAATCCTGATGTTGTTCCATTTACAACAGCTGGAATTGTGAAAAGGGAGGGTAGAGGTGAGGTGGTGGAAAACATGTAATTTCATGTATTTTTTTTTTTCTTTCCCACACTTTTTTTTTTTCTTTTGCTCTTTTTTCTCCCTTTACCAATATATATTGTTTCTCTTTTGTTGACCTCAACAGAGAGAACACTTGCAGGTAGATTGAGAAAAAAAAAACAATAGCCACTCATTTTTTACTTTGTAGCGCACACTTATATTACAGAGGGCGTGAGAAAGCAACGTCATCAGGCAGAAGAAAAAAAATAAGATGAGTGATTTGCATGCCGTATCAACTAGCGCTGGAGGGAGATTCCTTTTGCTTGGATGTACTGATGGCATCAAAGGATATGAAATTTCTTTAAATGGGGAATTAAGAAAGTTGATTCCCACTCCTGGTGAGGCGGCAACGGCGGCGAGACGCGGCTGTCACCCTGTGGGCGGGTCGGTGTCTCTTGTTGCCGTTCTCGCCGAAACTCCACTCATCGCCTTTGTACTCAACGGCGGGAGACCCACCACCACTAATACTACTACTACTACTACTACTACTACTACTACTACTACTACTACTACTAATATTATTCATATTAATAATAATGATAATAATAATAGTAGTAATAGTGGAGGAGGAGGAGTGCCTGAGATGTCTGCGGCCACTTCGCGTGTGCTGCACCTTTACGATCTCTCCGCGGCGACGGTGTTGGCGGAGCTGCACTTCCCAACGGCGGTGTTGGGGGCGCGGATGAACGGCGGCCGCCTCGTTGTGGCCCGCGAGGAGTGTCTGCACGTCTTGGACCTCCCCGCCCTCACGCCCCTCGCCGAACTCCGCACCACCGCCCCCCGCAACCCCGCCGGCCTCGTCGCCCTCTCGGAGCCAACCACCAACACACGCGGCGAGGCCGTCAGTTACGTGGCCTTCCCGCAGTCCGACAGCGGCCGCGGCGATGTGTGGGTCGCGCAGATAAGAGAAGCACACCATGCGAGGGACGGACACGCCGCGGTGGAGCGCGTCGCGATTGTGCGGGCCCATCAACGCGCAGTGGTGTGTTTAGCCATGACGCCAGATGGCACACGTATCGCCACAGCCTCGGCGTACGGTACAACCGTCAAGGTGTTTGAACCCTCCACAGCACGGCTGCTGTATCACTTTAGACGCGGCTTCATGCAGGCTCGTATGCTTTCCCTCTCATTTGACACCTCGCCAGATGTCACCGGATTGAGGCTCGCAGCGCTCAGTAGCAAAGGCACCTTGCATGTCTTTCGATGTTCTGCAACAGGTGGAAATGAATTGGTGACACCAGCATTGGTAGGGACTTCTGCCTCGGATGCTATGGCTGCCGCCGCTACTGCAGCAACTTCTGGGGCAAAACGAAGTTTCGCTCAGGCCGCAGTGGGCCCAATCTTTGCTCCGGAGGCGTCTGCCTCACCATGGACAGTGGTGGAACATAGAAAGGGTCCTCAATTGCAACACTGTTTCTTCTCCCACAATGGAAGATTTGTATGGGTTCTGCTTCCATCGCTTTCCTCTATGGCAAAGGATGATGGATTCAAGAGAGTGGATGATTACAGTGATAGTTCTTCTTTAGCGAATGATACAAATACAGTCAATGCACCTGTATGGGTGCTGCAACAGTACGCTGTTCATATTCGCGGTTGTGAGTTAGTTAAAGTGCATCCACTGAACTGAGTAATAATATATGAAACCAACGCAACTGGTGTTGCTCTTAAAAGGGGTGCAAACTCCCCTCCTTATTGTCGTTGTTCCTTTTCTTGCTACTTTTACCTTTGACAACGAAAAAAAAAGGGAAGTGGTTTCCTACTCCAATTTTTTTTTTTTTTTTACTTTTTTTTATTATTTATTCTTGCTATTGCTTTGTGTCATTATTATTATTATTATTATTATTATTATTATTATTCAGTTCTTAGTAGTTGTGTATGATGGTGGTTGTATCAGTCTTTTTTTTTTTTTTTTCTTCTCTACATATCCTGATGAGAAATATATGTTGCTGCTGTCGCTAGATAAGAGGAAGAAAAAGTAATCTGTTGTAGATAGTTCTCTTCAACGGTTTTAATTTCTATATAATTTTTCTTTCTTCTTTCTTTTTTTTTTCTTCTTTCAAAGGCAAGTGTGTATTGAAAGGAGGTTGTGGGCGTTTTAAGCGTTGCACACCCATTTTGTTGGTGTAGGTTTTTGCTTAGTCCCTTTTTTTTTCTTTTTTGCTTTTCTTTTTTTCTTTTTGTTCTTGTTTAAACTTGCTTTCCCTCTTTCCGCATGTTGCCTCAACCCAACCGTGTTGCCTGGGAAGAGAATGATATCATGCATGAGGAAGAAGAGAGAAGTATAACAGATGTTCCTTCTCTCTCTACTTCTGTTTCATCAGATACTTTGTTAGGTGAGCCACAACCTGCCGTCTCATCTATTGCACTACCGCAGCCCTCAGAAACAACTATGGATGAACATAATATCTCCACTCTCTCAACAAATATTTTCAGGGAATTTCAACTGCTTCCAGAAAAATATAGCCCAGAACATTGGGGTTCGGTGGAGCGGATGGGATTTCCTCTTAATGGCAATATCGAACAACAGGAGGCGGAACGGTCTGCGATGCCATTAGTACAAGCTGCAATACAACGATGTGAAAAACGTTGGCTAAGTTATTCTAAGGGTGTTCCACTTTTATCTAATGCTACAAGAAAATCAATGGACTCCATGCGGCATATGTTGTGTCGATATGGTGCTCCAAGTCAAATGCGTGGTGTAATTTGGCTAACATTATCGGGAATGGCTGTGAAAATGGAAGAAAATTTGGGATTTTGTAGAGCACTTTTAAGACGACATGGATACATGCATGGTGAATATGCAGACGCTATTGAGAAAGATCTTTACCGTACTTTTCCTTCACATCCATATTTTTCAGAGGGTGAAGTAGGAATGTGTAAAGTACGAAATGTACTTCATGCTCTTTGTTGGCGCAATCCACTGTTAAATTACTGTCAATCGTTTAATTATTTTGCGGCTTTTTTACTTTTAGTACTTGATGATGAAGAAAGTACCTTTTGGTTAATGTGTCATTTATTGGAGAATCTTCTCCCGAATGATTGGTACTCGGAATCATTGATAGGCACAAAAGTGGATCAGTATGTACTGGAGATTCTTCTACAGGAACGTTTGCCACAACTCGCACGACACTTTTCACAACTTCACTTTGAAGTTGGAACTCTCGTTTCGGCGTGGATTATGGTTCTATTTGTAAACGTTTTCCCTGTTTTAACAGTTATACGTGTATGGGATTGCCTCTTCGCTGAACATACACATCCTGCTGAACATTCATGTGTTCCACTTGCTATAACTATGGCGGTATTAAAACTTCACCAATCTGAATTACTTCGCTGTGATGATGTAGGTGATGTCATAATGTGCTTAAATAACTCCGCAAAACGTTTATTTGATGCTGAGAAACTTATTCGAACAATGATGGAAATAAGTCTTGAGCCGTCTACAGTGCAGAGAATGCGCCAGCGGGTGAGACCTGCGGTAGTGGAGGAACAACGCAGACGTGAACAACGCCTCGAAGCCCTGCGGAATTCATCTGCTCGATCGCAAGAGGAGGAAACGGCGACACAACCGCCAACGACACCCACACCTGTAGAGTCTTCCCGTAGACGTTTGTCAACGCTGCCGATGGAACCATTTCAGGGGGAATATACGGACTTCTTCGCCGGAACAGGGTTTGCAGAGGAAATAGCAGTAAACGCATGGCGACGTGTGGTGGAGGCGAATCGTATTCTTGAAGATGCACATGGGCAAAAGGAGCTGAAGGAATGCAGTCACAATTCGGCCTATGATAAGGGCTCCTCAAGGTGGAAAATAAGGGAAGAGAGTTCTGGACGTGAGATGGAGAGTATTTGCTCAAGGGATACTAGTGACACAAAAGAGGGAAGTAAGGTGAATTGATGATAGATGAATTGGGTGTTTGTGTTTATGAAAGAGGTCATGATGATCTTAATGCCTCTTTCCCCCCTCCTTGTTGTCGTCTCTTTTTTCTCTTTCCCCATTCTCTATTTACATTTCACTTTGTATGTGTTTCTATGGATATGTGGAGTTGTAATTTATCATTGCATACAGTTAATTTAGTATATATATATATATATATATATATATATATATATATGTCTGTTTTGTTATTTATTCTTCTGGGTTGTTTTTGAATTTCTCCTTTTTTTCTTTTTTTTTTTTCCTTCTCCTTTCAGTGGCTCCTTCCTGCCCATCATCCCTCTCTTAACGCAACAGGGAGCGGGAATTCATCCCGTACAGGAAGAAAAAAAGAAGAAAAAAGAAAACTAAAAAAAAAATAAGGCTCCATGGCGCGCGGGCGACGACCAGGGACATCATCATCATCTACTACTGCAGGTGTAGGGCGTGGGGGAAGGAAGACGCCTGTAGAGAACTCACAGTCTATTTCTACACCTATCCAACCGGCTTCTCCTGTTGCTGTCAACGATGGGGGTTCGTTTGCAGGCGGCAGAGGAAGAGGAAAGCGTGGTAGACCTTCATCATCACAGTCTGCTGCACAAAATCAACAGCAACCACAACAACAACAACAGCAGCAGCAGCAGCAGAAGAGCGGTATATTGACTCTGCAACGGAATAATCCAATTGTGAGCTTCTGGAAGGGGTTTTGCCGTCACGATGCACTGACGCAGGCACTAGCCAACATTGGAACCATGATAGAAGCGGAGTCACCACTACTGGTTTCATCCTCTCAACCAGAATACCCATTTTCAGGACTTTCCACAGATCGGATTCTGGTTGCAATTCAGGCAATTGTTGATGCAATTGCCTTGATGGAGTTTTTTGATAATAGCGAAGAGAATGATTCATTAGGAGAAAAAAAATGTCAAGTGTGGGAGACCGTACAAAATTTAGTTAGAATGTCTGAAGCTGCTGTACCCATGAAGTTTTCTGCCCTTATCAGAACCTCTGTGGTAAATGGCGTTAGTGAAATGACAAGTACTACTACTTCTACTAATATATCTAATATTCCACCTACAACCTCGTGGACATTGCGTGACCGTTTGCGTCGTCTAAAACGTCTTTGGCAACTTCATAAAGTGCATACATGTATTTTACCTTCACTTCGCGAATGTAAATCAAAGAGTGATATTGTGACTCTTTTCTTTGGTAACACACAAGATAAGGCTAATACTATCGAATCTATGCCAGAGATAACCTCATTACACAAGCAAGAACAACAGTTGATTAATGACTTAATGGAAGAAGTGAATGACAATAATCTATGTATGGAATCATGTGGTACTGTCTCATTTCCACCACTACGTGTTTCTGCTGGTTCTTATATTATTCACAAACGTTCTCGTTTTGAAGTTTTGGGATATTTGCTAAATGTTGCAGAATTTTTTGGACTTCCAGCTTTTCTGCGATATATCCGTGTTAATGCTGAACGGAGTCGTTCATGTTTAGATCACTCTCCAATGACATACATGTCATTTACAGCTAATAACACAGAGTCTCATCTTGATGGGTCACCATCGTCGTCATTGCCACCGCTTCTCTTTCCATCTCCATGTGATCTTGACCCACGCTGTTATAGGGTTTCAGTACCTGATCAGATACAACTTGTACAAGGGGAGTTGATTGAATTAGCGAACAACTACTGTTCCTTTGGTATTTTAGTGGGGGAAGCAGATCAGATTTTGCTCTTACTTCACACAAGTGCAACGTGCCAAGAAGGAATGAAGACAGGGCGTGGTGGAGTAGCAGGGGAAGGAACAGTTGGGTCCGTAAAGTTAGAGCAGTCTAACGGTAACCCTTTACCAAATGTAGGTAAGGAGAAACTGAAGAGTGATCCCCTCCTTTCTTATGCGCGACTGTTTATTCCCACAGCGAATAAGGGTGATACGAAAAAGAAAAGTGTGTATTGGTTATGTGATAACCGCTGGAATTGTTCGATGAAGTACTATGCGTTGGTACTTGCCGTAGTGGTACCACAAAATGATTTGTGTGAAAATGAGGAGGTAGAAGAGGTGGTGGAAGTGGGAGAACAGAAAGGATGTGAAGAAGCAAAAATAAAAAAAGGAGAAAAGTCTTCGGGAGGATCTGTTAATACCATAGTTCCGTACTACGTGGCGGCTGTTTTGGAACTTTCTCGTTCTTAACACTCTATTTGATGAAAAGTGAGTGAGTGTGTGCGTATGTCTCTCAGAGATATCTATGCATACAAAGTAAAAAAAAAAAAAAAAAAGTGGAATGATGAGAGAACCACATTACAGTTATACTGGTAAGGAAAGAATCTCAACCTATGAGCTGTTCCTCTTTTTTTTTCTTTTATACTAAGGAACAATTATAAATATATACTGGTAGTAGTAGTTGTTGTTGTTGTAGAAGGCATTTTCAACAGAAAAACAAATACCTTCTTATCCTCTTTCATGTTTTTTTCTTCTTCTTTTTTTTATGTAGTTTGCCTAGTGGAGGTACTCACTCTGAACCGAAGGAGCTGCCGCGGTAGCAGGGTGAGTATAGAAAGAAAGTACAGATTAAAAAAAAAAAAGAATAACAAGTGGTCTGGCTTGTGTGTTTGTGTGTGTTTGTGAGAGAAAAGATAGTAGAAGACGGCAGCTATGCTCCGCAGCACATCAATATGCCACGGTGGCTACATGATGTATCACCGTAAGGCGATGGGAACAATGAAGTACAGTAAATGGAAAGGAGCTCACGGTGGTGTGAGTCACTTCTACGGTCGTACTCCAATGATAGAGGAAGTGAAACGCAATGAGCCCATTACATTGATTGACCGTCGTATCATGCATTACGTCCACCGCTCCCGCATCCGCCATTTTCAACTTTTCCGTTCCTATCAGCAAAAGTCTAATTCCACAGAATGCAAGTTGCGTGAGGGTGAGATGCTGCGTCGGCGTTGGCACCGACGCCTGCAGAAATCCTTCATTGCCTTCATGCAATTTAAGACAATGAAGGTGTTGGAGGATCAGGCACGGTTAGTGAACCAGTATGGACAGGCCGCAGTGAACGCGGCACTGGGAGACCCGTGTGAGGCGGTAACGAGTGAACAGCGGGAGCGGAAGTGGGCGGCAATTAGGCGGAAAGTGCGGACACTGCCAACAGTAAATGTTGTGCCAAAACATGTGGCAACAATGAAGCAGATTCATAATGATCGCTTTAACTACCGTTGGCGTGTTAACTGAGGTGGAGAGAAGTCGAGAAAAGGAAAGGGAGAAGAAAGGAAGGAAGGAATCTCTTTTGTTTTTGCTTCTGATGTTTCCATTGATGTATACATCTTGGTGTACCTCTTTCTTTTATTGTTCTTGTGTTATTATTATTATTATTATTATTATTAATTATTTTATTGATGCTTTCCACACCTTTTTTTTTTCTTTTCTTACGGGGTTCGTTCTGTTACAACAGAACGAAACGTACCACCTAAAAGAAGTACATTAAAAAGAAAAGAAATAACCAGAGATATAGATAAATTAAAAAAAAAAAAGAAAAGAAAACACAAAAACCGGATTCAATGAGTGGGGAAACTAATAGTACTTCTTCATGTTCAGGTGCAGAGGTGGTGGCATCTGGGAAGGACCCACGATTCATGCAGTTTCCGTCACCGGTGTACTTTGTGCGATGGATAGATGAGCGTCACGCAGTGATTGGTGCGGGCGGAGGTGGAAGGCGTTTTGGTATGGCCAACTTGTTAGCAATTATTGCTGTTGATACCTCACCACGACAACCCACTCATCCTTTTCACGACAAACAAATACAACAGCGACATAATAATAATAATAATAATAATAATAATAATAGTAATAATAATAACAATAATAGTAATAGTAGTAGTAGTAGTAATAATAAAAGACATGAACATGGGGAGGGAGAGCTTCCTATGGAACCATGGAGGTTTGTTGCAGCTGTTGAGATGGGGGAAAACATTCCCTGGTGCGCATCATCCTTTCTGCCCTGTATTGACGAGATACAGCTTTCCCAAGGAGTTGTGGGATATATTGCAGTAAGTCACGTTACATGTTTTACATTTGTAGAGGTGCGACGGCCTTTTGAAGGAAATGGTTTATTTTTGCGTTGCTTAGCCTGTGTTGCACTACCATCCGATCCCAAAAACCCTGACAAGAAGCCCATTGCCCTTGTACAGGGTGCTGTTGTAGTCGCACATGATGAAGGTGGTGTGCATATATACAGTCTTCGTTCTTTTTTGGAAACACCGACTAATTCTTTGACCGATGAATTGGATACTTCTCCTATAGCAACCAGAGAAGAATCATCCACTAGGGATGATACCACTAACACATGTGAAGATCAGAATAAACAGACATCAAAGCAGCAAGATACCACTGCAGCTGCCTCGCCTCAATTAACAGGAAAAGGAATAAAACCTATTGCCTCTTGGGCACTGCCAGCCCGTGTGAACGATCTTCATGCCAACCGTTTTTTTGTACCAAAAAAATTAGGTAATCATAGTGGTAAGACAAGGCATTGGTATCACTCCGATTATCTTATTATTGCTGCCCTTGTGCAGGACAAAACGCTTCGACTATGCACAATGAAACTTCGACGCAATTACCACAAAAGTGCTACTAGTTATGGAAACAAGATGATTGACAAGAATAGTAGAAATGAGAAAGAATATTGTAATACTATTCTTGAAGATGCATGTGTTTTCACAGGTAAAGACTGTCGTATTCCCTTCTCATTGATGAAATCTTCCATGCGGTTGGTACAACTGTTTGGTGTAGAGGATGTTTCTCCATCTCTAGTAGACGCCACTTGGAAAAAGTCACGCAGTCTACATTGTAAAGAAGGTTCTCGTGGTGCGATGCCAATTGCTAGTCTTGTGGTCGTTGTTTACGATGTGATGGGTAATCAGTCATATATGCTTACAGCACAGGTCTTAAGTACAACTGCCATTTGTGATAACCAGTTTTTATCAGTTAGTACTCCACCTATAAGTGATTCTAGCAGGGCTATTTCTCCTATCATTGCTTCTGAGATGGGTTCTTGTGGTGGGGCAACATCACATACTTCGGGAAATAGGGGGTTCAAAAAACTTGCTCTTCGTGTTCTATTTTCCTCGCAACCATCACCCCTTGTGAAGGAAGGTGTTACTACCATTTGTCCCTGTCACTATCAACGGTGTGGATCGGCTGATTCTGCGGCTGTCACCGTCATGAGAGGGCAGGGAGTGGGAACAGTCGTACCTTCCTATTGGTTGGCAGGTACAGTTGAAGGAACTATTTTATCGATACTCCACTCAGACGATGATAACTTTCAGGTGCTTTCAATGAGGCCATCAAAGAACAAATATGAGGCAAAACAATTTTCGGCACTCCATCGTGAGCCTGTTTCCTGTGTGGCTGTATCACCCATAAATGATGTTCTGACAAGTGATATTGCACAAAATGTCGTAGTGTCGGTTCTCCCGTTTTGGGAGCGTTTGCCAATTCGATTACTTCAATCTTCTACCAAGAGTGGAGTCTCCCACGGTTTATCTGGCGTGCAAAACCAAAAAGAAAACTCCATGACTAGTTTCATTCCTGCAAACTGTACACTTGATGGCACGACAAATAGAGCAATGATAGTGACATCCTCAGCAAATGGGGTCGTAAGTATGGGGGAGGAATTCTCCATACGACCAAAATGCATGGATCTCTCACTTTTTCCGTATAAAGAGAAGTCATATAAGTTATTTCTCTACTGGAATATCACTCTACAAAAGATACAATTGATAATGGCTGTTGTGGTATTACCTTTAATAGCGATACTTTTAGCATACTGGCTATTATAGAGAAATCAAGGAATATACACAAAAAAGAAAGTTTATTTACTTTCTCTCCACTGCAGAGGGTTCTACCGAACCATTCTAGACATTTTTTTTTTTTCGATTTTTAGTGTTCTTTCAAGATCAAGAGATGGAGCTCTTTTCATGAGAGCTTGTTTTTGTATGAGGAGCGATACTTCTGGGGTGGGGTAATGATTGCAGATATTGTAGTAGTCACTATTGAAAGACGTATATCCTCTGTCTTACACACGGCTCCTCTCTGACATTGTGTAATTTCTTATAATACAAGAAAGTATGAATTCTGTGACTAAATAGATTCTTCACTATGTCTGAGGATATGGGGTATCAATTTATCATTCAAATGTCTCCATTCATAATGGAATTTGCGAAAATCGTGTGGATTTCAAAGTACATCAAATGGCAAACCCAGACATTAAAACACCATAAATGGGATCCAAAACAAAGGTAGTACAAAACTATTAAACTGTGCAATAAATTGTTCACATTACCAACTCATTTGCACTTCTGTCTACACGTAGTCAATCCTCGTCTCTTCTTTTCACAAATCTTTTTGTTGGAAAAGGAGAGGACATTTGCCAACGGAATGTCTCTCTATGTGTATCTCTGCGTATGTATCTATGTATGTATCTATGTATGTCTATCTAGACAAGAGATCTGTGTTATGACTTAACTTTCAGATGTTGCTTAATATTGCATTATCTTTGCTACCATATTTCTTTTGCACGATTGCAAGTAAGATATACGAAGGTACCATGTACATGACCTTCATAACTCAACAATTCCAAATGCGATATTAACCACTCATCCCATGCAAAAGGAGGATAACCTTTTTTTTGTTGTTGCCTTATCCCTAAACACCACCAGAAGGTTATGCTATACATTTTCTCCTCAAGTACTTTTTTCCCTTTGCCTTTTTGCATTGGATATTTGAAACTTTAAGCTTATCGACTAAACATATATACATCTATATTTTTTTTTCCATGTCAATTACTATTACATCTAGATAAAATTCTCCATGAAAGAGCAACCTTGGTTCCCTATTGTTTCTATTTTTTTTCTTCTTTTCACATTGATTTTTTCTTTGCTCTCATTTCATCAAATATATATATATATATATATATATATATATATATATATATATATATTCTTTTTTTTTTTTTCGAAGCACTTCTTCACTACCCACTACAGAAAAAAAACATACCATATTGAGAAATTGCTCGCAAAACAAGATAAGCAACAGGGATGGTTGTCTCAGATTACCGTATCAACGAGCTCCGTCGCTTTCGTATACTGGTGGGCGGTCTTGCCGCTGCAGGCTCTGCGTCTGTCTTTTACGGGTTCAACCTCATCAGCAACTATCTTCAGGTCGGCTATGGACTTGACGGGAACGATCTGACGACCATCACCACCACCGGAATTGTTGTTGGTTTTGTGACTTTTCCCTGTGGGATGCTGTTGGACTACGCAGGGCCCATGTGGGTGCTCGTTATTGGCACTATCTTGTCTGCACTCGGTGCTCTTCTTTACGGTCTGGTGTTCAACGGCCTGATTGCTGCCTCCGTGGTGCGGTTTGCTGTCTTTTGTGCCTTCCTGAATTTTGGATGCTTGAGTTTTGACACTGGCTCGTTGATGGCAGTGCTGGGGAGCTTCCCGCTGGACAGGGGCCTTGTGGTGGCGCAGATGAAGACGTTGAATGGCCTCGGTGTCTCTGTGTTGGCTGCTATCAATATTGGTTTTTTTCGCGAGAAGTATGCTGCCTACATGTATTTCCTAACAGGTACTTTGGTAGTTCTTGGATGTTTTTCAGCGTTTTTTATTCGTTTTCCCCCATACCACATTGTCGATGGTGAGAAGAATAAGGTACCAGAGGAGGTGCAACGGCGGCGACGACTGGTTGAGCTATACTACCTGCAGCAGCGACCATCGCGGCGACGTTTTGCGATTGGTTTCATCATCATCATCTCACTGATCATTTATCTGACGACGCAGTCACTGTGCTCGGCTTACATCCCGGGCGTTTCTGACACCTCCCGGAGGGGCATTGCTGCTGGAGCGATTGTGCTTGTGCTGATGGTGATGCTGATGGCGGCACCCCTACCGTTCCTTGGGGGCATGCCGGTTCCGGCGAACGAAGCACTTCCGCCCCTGCCGCAGGAGCCGGAGGAGGGAGGGCAGGTGGCTGAGGAGAAGGCGGAGCTGGACGAGAACGCCATGATGATGGAAAAAAGCAACCTTGATCCACAGTACCAGGGCACATTCTGGTCGGACCTGAAGACACTGGACTTGTGGTTGATGTGGTGGAACACACTGGCTACTTGGGGATGTGGCCTTGTCATCAGCTTCAACAGCGCCCAGATATACCGTGCATTGAATGATAACGTATACGAAGCCCCGACAAACTCGATGTATTCAGCCATCATGGGTGTCGGGAGTGCCTTTGGTCGTCTTTCGATTGGATTCCTGGAGACTTTGATTCTCCGACGGGATCCCGGAAACCGTCCTGTGATTACCTGCCTCTACCCAATTGCCTCAATTGTACTCGTGTTGGGTGTTGTATTTCTACTGGCACTGCCTCTGAAGTCGAAAGCGGTCATAATCGGGTTCTTTTTGGGCGCGTTTGGCAACGGAGCCAGCTGGGCAAGCACAGCACTGATGATGCGATCACTGTATGCAAAGGACATTGGCAAGCACTACAATTTCATGTTATTAGGAGCACTGATTGCTGTCATCGCACTGAACCGCTTCGCGTACGGCGAGGAATTCACACGACTTGCAAGAAAGAATGGTACGTATCCCTATTGCGGTGGCAAGGCATGCGTGCAAAATGCCCTAATCATATTGTTGTGCGTGAATGCGACTGCAATCGTTGCGAGCACTATTGTCCACATCCGCTACCGCAGTTTCGTGAGGAGGACTCGTGCTGCGCACTGTGCAGCGGGTCCCGTCCAATATTCTCCTGATGTGGCATGTAATATGGGTGCAATCCCCTACACCCCACATGAATGATATATTAACACAACAAGAGCTACTGCTCCATGTGTACAATGATAGTTTTCCTTTTGAATTTTTTTTTGTAGATTTTATTTTTGCAAGCGAAGTGTATTTTCTTTACTTTTTGTGATCGAAAAAAGGGGCTTTCTCAGTTGTATAGCATTCTTCAGTAAACCTCATTCCAATAGATATCTTGTAACTTGGTTTGTAGGTTTCTGAATTATTTGTTTCTTTTTATGTGGATTTATTTGTTTTTTGTTTTTTTTTCAATCCAGTAATTCTTTTTTCC